GTAGCCTCCAAACTGGCCCTCAATAATCCCTGCTCCCTTGGGTCATGCCTGCCACATGGAACCATGTAATGTGAGCAGCCCCATTAGGCAAGGAGCTGAGGCCTCCCACCAACAGCCACGCCAGGGTGTCACCGTGGAAGCCCATTCTCTGGTGTTAGGCAAGCTTCTAATGTCTGCAGCCCTATCAATTCAACTGCACTATATATATATATATATATATATATATATATATATATATATAGTATATTTTATTGATTTTTTATAGAGAGGAAGGAAGAGGGATAGAGACTTAGAAACATTGATGAGAGAGAAACATCGATCAGTTGCCTCCTGCACACCCCCTACTGGGAATGTGCCCGCAACCAAGGTACATGCCCTTGACCGGAATCGAACCTGGGACCCTTCAGTCCGCAGGCCAACGCTCTATCCACTGAGCCAAACCGGTGAGGGCTATATATATTTTTTTATTGATTTCAGACAGGAAGAGAGAGGGAGAGAGAGATAGAAACATCAATGATGAGAGAGTCATTGATCTGCTTCCTCCTGCACACTCCCTACTGGGGATGTGCCCACAACCTAGGCATGTGCCCTGACCGGAAATCAAACCTGGGACCCTGCAGTCTGCAGACCAATGCTCTATCCACTGAGCAAAACCAGCCAGGGCATCAACTGCACCCTTGTGAGAGAATCTGAGCAGCCAGAACTAGCCAGTCAACCACTCCTGGATTGCTGACCCTCAGAAACTGTATGAAATAAACATTAGTTTTTGTTTTGTTTTTTATTGTTAATCCCCACCTGAGGATGTTTTTTCCATTGTTTGTGGTTTTTTTTTTAGAGAATGGAAGGGAAAGAGGAAGGGAGGGAAGGAGGGAGGGAGGGAGAGAGAGAGAGAGAGAGGGAGAGAGAAACATCAATATGTGAGAGACACATCGATTGGTTGCCTTGCCTCCTGCATGCAACCCAATAGGGCTAGGGATTGAACCTGCAATCCAGATATGGGTGTACCCTTGACCGGGAATCGAATCTGTAACCCTTCAGTTCAGTGTAAGGGTAACACTCTAACCATTGGACGACACCGACACCAGCCAGGGCAACATTAGTTGTTTAAACTTTCTAAGTTTTAGGGTAATTTGTTGCAAAGTAATGATAGCTGATACAATCAACAGAATAAGTGGTTAAATTAATGAATTTGGTATGTGCTGTCTACAGCTATGGGAGTTAAAATTATGACAGAATATACACCCTGCCCTTTCAAGCTCCCTCCTAAATATCCATCCAAAGTCCCACACCCAACAGTTTTTGTTTTTGTTTTTTACAGAGAGGAAGGGAGAGGGATAGAGAGTTAGAAACATCGATGAGAGAGAAACATCGATCAGCTGCCTCCTGCACACTCCCTACTGGGGATGTGCCTGCAACCAAGGTACATGCCCTTGACCGGAATCGAACCTGGGACCCTTCAGTCCGCAGGCTGACACTCTATCCACTGAGCCAAACCAGTAAGGGCCACACCCAACAGTTTTAAGAAATATATAGAAACACATAGCTATTTGTCAAACGCAAATTCCAGAATGAGCCCAGCCAGTGTGGCTCGTTGGTTGAGCACCGACCTATGAACCAGGAGGTCACGGGTTCCATTCCTGGTCAGGGCACATGCCCGGATTTCAGGCTCAATCCCCAGTAGGGGTCCGGCAGGAGGCAGATGATTATCTCTCATCATTGATGTTTCTATCTCTTTTCCTTTCCCTTCCTCTCTGAAATCAATTAAAAATATATTTTTAAAAAGGATGAACTCTGTGATTATGAAATCTTATTGTATGTGTAATGAGTAAAACCCAGTTAACGAGTCATATGAGAAGAAATAGTTTCCTAAGACAGATCTTTAGTTCAGAAACAAAGTTTACCAAAATTCAGAGATAAATGTTTATTCAAACATTCCACAAGGAAGTATATTTTATAGAAGACATGCTAATATTAGCCAAATACCTAGTTGTAGACCAGATCATTCAAAGCCACATGAATGACTTAGCCTCAGTACACCTTCCTAATTACAGTGCAGCAATTATATTGAGCAACAGTCCAAGGCTTCAAAGGCCAGGGTAAGTATGGAAGCAACCAAGCTTTTAAAAAAATGTTTAGAAGTTAAGTTGCTGCCAAACTGCCTAATTTGTAAAAAGAAAGTAATTATTTGTTCTGATATTAATAAGCCTAGATATGAAAACCAAAAAGATCAATTTCTATCTCTAGACTGCTAAGATATTATTCCCATTTTACTGGCAAGGCAACCAGCAGATGTTCCAAAAGCAGCTTGCCTAAAGCCCTTCAGCTAATAGTGAGCAAGGACTCCTCCTTGCTGAGGAACAGAGGGTGGAGTTCTTAGGATGAGAGTGTAACAGATGCACTCTCTGCTCCTCTCCCTTTATTGCAGCCCACGCTGAAAGGGTGGCACTTCCTCACCTCCGGAGGCTCACTTTGCTCATAAATCTTGAACTGGATATAGAACAAATGGTACCCAGTATAGGGTGGCTGTGCAGAGACCTACGACATGCCCTGACTCAAACCCGGAGTTCACCATGAGATTGCCTCTCAGATGGTTAACGTAAGCCACGCTGAAACCTCCTGATGAACAGAGTTTTGAGAGCTGAGGAAGTACAAAGTAGTGAACAGAAGTTGCAGATAGAATAAAGATAGCTGTAATAGAAATGGCTGAGAGGAAAGTGAAGCTGATATCCTGGTGGGAGATGAAGGAAGTAGGGCCTGAGAGCCAAGTTAGATCCAGGGAGCCAACTCTCTTACAGAGCCTTGTCCAGGGCATGGGCACCCGAATCTTTAAACTAAATCCCTATTGCAAGGCCACAGGAGCCTCTGCTCTGGGACACTACAGAAATTGGACTGAAGCAGTGTGGGATTCAGAGTCACAATTCACCTTTCACCTGAGGCCTGGGACACAGCCAGTTTTCAAAGCACATTTGTTAAATAAATGTGTTTGAATAAATGAATCAATAGTCTTGTTTTCCCAGGACCTAATTTCCCACGGCATCCTAGGAATAACTCCTGAATATGAACGCCTTCTGCCTTCCTGGTTCCCAAGTTGCTTTCACATACTTTAATTGCCTTTTATCTTTACAACAACCCTGTGGGAAACCCAAGGCTGATATTAGCCTCACTTGGCAGATAATTATCATCCCCATTTTACTGATGAGAAAATTGAGGCTTGGAGAAGTTAATAACATGCTCAAAGTCATAGGCTGAGAAGGACAGAAGCCAGCGTTCTTTCACCAGAGGCTGGCCCCCTGCTTACAACTGAATCACAGGCAAAGAGGTTGGAACACAGAGGTTGTATTAAATCAGAGGGTATTCATTTCAAACAATATTGATGGGATTACATCTTATACTCTTCCCAGACACATTCAAGTATGTTAGCGGCTTTGAATCACAAATCCTCTGAACTGGGTGATGAGGGAACAGGCATGAGGATGGCGGGTTTGGTCCTTTCCTGCCAGGGAGGCTTTGCACAAGCTTTAATAGGGTGCAAGAAACCACTCCTGTAAGTTTGGTTAGTCATTAGACTGGTCTGGGGAGAGAGTAGGGGCAGGACACAGGGAGCTGGATGGCAAAATGTGGGCAGGACAATTTAACCAGGAAAATAAAAAATGATGGAGGAGAAAAATTGGAGAGAATGGATTGACTGGGAAGGAAAATTGTAAGAGAACAGGAGAAACAAAAGGAAAGGCAGTTCAGTTGTGTAAATCAGCTGTAGCCCTGGGTTTAGTGGCTGCTTTCTCCACCAACAAACCACAAATAAGAACCTCTGCAAAAGCAGTGGTTGCCAAAGAGCCAAGGGCCAATAATCAAGGCACTTAATTTTAAAAAGTGTCCCCAAACCTTCCTATTTTCAGGGGGTAGAAAGGGGAAGTATGTACTATTTATACATGTTACTTTATAACACTTAAGGTGTAATGGTGAGCGATCCAGAAACCAGTGAGACCAGCTCTGAAACTCTGTGCCATCACTTGTTAGATATGACTTTGTTCAAGTTACTTTAATTTTGTCAGTCCTTATCTGTAAAATAGATATTAAAAGTATTTGCTACCCAGCCGGCTTGGCTCAGTGGTTGAGCATCGACCTATGAACCAGGAGGTCACCACATTCCCTGGGCTGCAGCTCGATCCCCAGTGTGCCAGTGTGGGGTGTGCAGGAGGCAGCCAATCAATGATTCTCTCTCATCATTGATGTTTCTTTCTCTCCCTCTCCTTTCCTCTCTGAAATCAATAAAAATATATATTTTTTAAAAAGTATTTGCTTCTCAGAGTTGTATTAAATCAGAGCGTATTAAATGGAGCCAGGCACTAGTTAGCACTCAGGAAAATGGTTATGATTCATGCTCAGGAATTCAGGGGCTACAGAAAAGCACATCCTAACCCTACCCCTGTAATACATCCACCTTATTCTTTGCTTTTCCTACTCAACAAGCTTTACAGCTCTCAGCAATCATTAGTCTGAGAACTAACATTCATACCCAGAGCTAAGGTGGGCCAGGAAAGGGGTGGGTTGGGTGAGGTCAGGACCCCGCAGGGCGAACAGTTTGAGCCGCGGATTAAACCAGACTTCTGGCTATCCAAGAGCAGCTAGTGGACGCTCTGTCCCGGCGCGATCCTGCCCTCCACGGCTGGAAATGACTTTCAGAACTGAGTCAGCGTGCCTCCAGAATATAACGAGCTGAGTTGTTGTCTACTCAAAATTAAACATCTTGTAGGGCGAGATTCCACATTTGTGTCGGCGCCGGGGTTACTGCGTGACCCTCCTTCTCAACATTCTTCCTCTTAACCCAGGCAGGTCCGCGTGAAGGCCCGGGCGGGGATCGGACGCCGCTGTCGGCTCGCATTCCCCTCGGCTCTCTCGCTCCACGCGGTGACCCGGAACCTGCTGCAGCCAACCCCTCCCCACCCCTGGCCCGGCGCCGAGTGCCTGTACTTCCCTCCCGGGCCAGCCAGGCTGCAGCTGTACTGGCGGCACTCTCCGCCGCGGCACCTCCATAAACCTGTAGGAAGTCCCTGCGGGACCGGTGCCCAGACGCTGCGCGACCCGGAAGCCGGCTCCGGGGGACGAAGCCTGGGAAGCCCCAACCGCGCAGGCGCCTCGAGGAGTCTCCAACCAGGCCGGCGCCGCTTCCGGGCCAACATGGCGGCCGCGTGGCTGCTGCTGCGTGCCCTCCGGCAGGGCCAGGGTCCGGGTCCCGGGCGGCTGTGGGGCCCTTGCTTGGGCTGGGGCCCGAGTCTCTACGTCGGGTTCGGGAGGAGGTGGCCGTACTTCGTCTACAGGACTCCGATGGGTGTCGCCGAGGCTGGAGGCCGAGTCCTGCAGGTAACCCGGGTCGCGTAGATGCCGCTCCCGCCGGGGCTGGGAGGAGGTAGTGCATCGTGCAGGCCCTGGCTTGGGTGTTTCCAGCCCGTACTTCGTGTGTTGGTATTTTCTGTCTGTATTCCTTGCGTTTTAAAATTGAAGACAATAAGAGTTTCATCATTTTCTATTAGAGAAGTATTTTACATTTGGCTCATAGATCAGAGCCCATCAAGATGAATTTTACCACCTTGCACATAGTAGCTGGCCACAGTCCTCAGTGGCCTGAGGGTTTGTGTGAGCAAAATACCACGTAGGTGTAGTTTACTTTTGTCGTGCAGCAGCCTCAAACGTTATCAATACAAATTCATGGAGCACCTTCGATGTGAATGCTGTGTTCCAGGCCCTGCTAAGGTTGACATTTCATCCTGAAAGCAAGCCCTAAGTCCTGGTGCGTTTTTAGCTGATTTTTTCCTCCCAGACCTTTCTTAGCAATTCAACCCTCACATTTTAGGTCGAAATTTATTATTATTTTTACATAATTTGAGAACCAATTTTAATTATAGTCCTATTCTAGATTACTGGCCACTTTCCTGAACTTGAGGGCAACTATAGATATGCTGCCCCCCCCCCTTTTTTTTCATTCTATTGAGAAGGAACATAACTTATTATCTTAAGTCTGACCCTTTGCTTATTCTGTAAAATAAGGGCTTAAATAAACAACTCACACATACTTGTGAAATCTAAGCAAATTCTCTCACCAATGGCTATAATAGTAATAAACTAAGTAAGCTGGTTTAAACAGTCTTTGGGGCTGACATTGAAGAATGATGATTTTTGTGTGTACTCTATTTAACACACTGATGTTGCTTATTTATTAGGTCCAGTCCACACTCTGTGGCCCTCTTCTATATGATCTCTTCTTGTCACTGAGTCAAGAATAGTAGTATTTATTAAATGGGACAATAATTGTATGGACTAGGAATTTTCATTCTATTGCTAAAGGAAATTGCATGTAATGTGCTCCTCACCGAGGAGCATTGAGCAAGGTGTTAACTTTTCTTCATAGCAGCAACAGAGCAGAAATGAGCTAAGGAAAAAAAATTAAAAATAAATGACCCTGGCTGGGTAGCTTAGTTGGTTAGAGCATCCTCTCGATACGCCAAGGATTTGGGTTTGATCTCTGGTCTGGGCATGTACAAGAAGTAACCAATGAATTCATCAATAAGTGAAGGCTGCCTTGTATTTCAAACATGCTTTCTATCATGCATTGACTGTATGCATTTTGTTAAGCACATTTCATTTGTTTAATAAGGTGTATAAGACACCTTTCTAGATGAAACTCTGTGTGCCACACTTTGCACTACTGATAACATAATGATAACCTCAAGATTATCAGGAGAAATATTTAAATTTCCATTTTATGAAGAACCAAATTATTAGTTATGCTTTTTAAAAAAATTACCAGTTTACATAATTAATCAGGGTGCATTTTAAGTTCTAACTTCTTTTGTTTATTGTATAATGCATCATTTGAAAATACCAAGGAAATAATCCTTTTGTTTTCAATAATGCATGAGTGGAAGTAATGCTAGTTGGCAGTATTTAATTATAAGAACTCAATAAAGTAATTGTGTTTAAAAAAAATTAAATGAAACAACACATAGATGTTTCTCTCCTTTTTCTCTTTTTTTTTCTTTCTCTTTCTCTGTCTCATATCAATCAACCAATAAAATAAATAATAGAACAAATAAAGAAATTGCCAACATAGATACAGAAAAAATTAAATTGGCCTTAAGAATATGAAACATATTCAAGTGGGAGAATGCTCATCTTGAAAACAGAACTTTGGAAATATAGACTGGTACACTACTGTAGTAACTGGAAGACTGATCCTTGTTGTCATTTTTTTTTTTTTTCAGAGTTTCCAATTGCGACTATTAACCCCTACCTTTGAAGGGATCCATGGATTGTTATTGAAACAGCATCTGGTCCAGAATCCAGTGAGGCTCTGGAAGCTTTTAGGTGTGTATCTGTTGAAAGACAAGTGACAGGCAAAGCCTGGGCCATTTGTGAGTAAATAAAGGGTATTGTTGCTGGTTTGACATTGACAGAAAAACGAAATCACTAGTCAGACCTTTGGCTTCTATATATCATGAGTCCTTAGATGCTTTGAAATGAAGTTTACAAAAAGGATGGTTGTCTAAGATCAGAACAGGCCATTTTTGCTTATTTTGAATCATTTGTTTTTTTTTAAATTCTGGTGTATAGCAATAATTGGGCTGCTTGAAAAGTTTTGTCATGTTTTCCTGTTCTCTAGCCAGCTCCAAGAACATTTGTAAGGATCTACAGAGTGGCTCATGTGTTTTATAACCAGAAGGTAACTAAAACTAGCCTGGAAATAATTTGCTTTCACTATAGTCTTGCACTGTTTAGTGAGACTCTGACATCCTACTGTCTCTCTTGACCTTAGGTCAAAGGATCTTAAGGAGTGACTTCTGTAATTTGACTCCCTCCTTTATCCAGTTGGAATAGGGAAAAAGTAAAATCTTCTGACTGCTAGTATACATCAAATAGCCTGGTGTCCACACATGGTGAGAAAGCTGTGACTTGGGGGCAGTTTGCACATCTGGTATCTGTGTTTTTTCTCTTTTTATTTTATTTTAATATATTTTATTGATTTTTTACAGAGAGGAGGGGAGAAGGATAGAGAGTTAGAAACATTGATGAGAGAGAAACATCGATCAGTTGCCTCCTGCACACTCCCTACTGGGGATGTGCCCACAACCAAGGTACATGCCCTTGACCAAAATCGAACCTGGGACCCATCAGTCCGCAGGCTGACGCTCTATTCACTGAGCCAAACCGATTAGGGCTATCTTGTTTTTTCATTTAAATCTACATGTGTGCCCAGTGGCACACCTTCAACCTTCAACAGCCTGATCTGTGTCAGGTGGCCATCAAGGTAGTTTCACTTGTGATTCTGTTAATGTCTGTGAAGAAAAGTACAACTCGGTCATAGTTTTGAGAATCTTTTCCCCCCATTTTTAACACTGATTTGTTAAGACCTTAGATAAAATAGGCCTTTTGTGTGAGGAGTATTATGTAGTCCTGTTTTGGTGATGGTGACAGTTGGCTTGCTGCCTTACTACATGTGCCAAAGTCACTTGTGTCCTTTATTTGTTCATTTAAAGTGACTGTATATATTAAAGGGATTATTCTTCAACAAATTCCTGACACGTTCTCAAATTTAAGTTCATAACTAATTTTCACTTCCTCGCATTCACTAATTTAAATCACAGAGGTATTTCATAAGTTGAAGTAGTTTATTATTCTATAACTAGAGGCCCAGTGCACAAAATTCGTGCACAGGTAGGGTCCCTAGGTCTAGTTGGCAATCAGGGCCAATCAGTGGGTCGATCTGGGGGCGATCAGGCCCCGCCCCTGCTTGCCAGCCCCGCCCCCAGCCACTTCCTGTCACCTCCCTCTGTGGGGCAACCGGTGGGGCAGGGCGATCAGGGGGTCCCCTGTTGGCACCTGCCTTGGCTGGCCTGGGGCCTGCTGGCTGGGCAGCTCCTGCGTTGAGCGTCTTCCCTCTGGTGGTCAGTGTGCATCATAGTGACTGGTCATTCCACCTTTTGGTTGATTTGCATCTTAGGCTTTTATTATTTAGGATTTGTAAATACTGTACTAAGAATGATAGAAGAAAATGCTTTATCTCAAACTTCTACATCATAGGTTTTATTTATTTATTTTTTTTAATATATTTTATTGATTTTTTACAGAGAGGAATGGAGAGAGATAGAGAGTTAGAAACATCGATGAGAGAGAAACATTGATCAGCTGCCTCCTGCACATCTCCTACTGGGGATATGCCTGCAACCAAGGTACATGCCCTTGACCGGAATCGAACCTGGGACCTTTCGGTCCGCAGGCCAACGCTCTAGCCACTGAGCCAAACCGGTTCTGGCTACATCATAGGTTTTAGATAGTTTCTATTTTTATTTGGTTATTTGAAAATGTACTCTTCTCCTAAGTATTCCACTATGGTTGCAGATCTTGATTGTTAAACACTTTCCCTATTCCTTGTAGGTGGCACTTACTATTTCAACACCTCAAGGAAGAAGCAGAAGACTAAGGACCATGATAAATCCAAGGGGAGGACCCCTGAAGATGATGAAGGTAGCTCTATTGGATGTTCTGGAATGATGGCTGGCTTTGTTGCCTTCACAAGCACATTCTAGCCTAAGCAACAGGAAACCTATCTTATTTTTTTCCATTGATTTTTTTTTATTTTTAGAGAGAGTGGGAGGGAGGGAGAGAGAAGTGGGGGGGGGAGAGATCAATTGTTTGCCTCTTGCATGTGCCCCAACAAGGCTGGGGATCAAACCTGCAACCCGGGTATATGCCCTTGAACAGGAATCAAAACTGCAACTGTGAGGGCAGATACTGTAACCACTGAGAATACTGGCCAGGGCAGAAAACCTGTCTTAAAAGTAGGGCAAGCCCAGGCACCTGTGCTCCTCTCCCCGAGTACACCTATCCCCAATCTCTAATTCTGTTGCTGGATCCTTCCTGTCTGTCCTTTTAGAGACGCTTTCATCAGCACCTGTCTTGTGTCCTCTTCAGAATGCCTAAAGGTAGGGAGCATTTCTGTTCTTTGCATGGAAAAAGTGAATCTTAAATCTCCGCCATACTCAAGAGTTCTGGGGCACGAGGAAGGCACTAGGACTCCTTGGCTAAACTCACCCCATACACACCTGGTTAGTAGGCTTGAGAAGTAGCCCCCAGAGGAGAGGAGGGTGCAGTGTAAAGAGAACATCGGAGATCACTGTCCTATGAGAGGACCACTGTGATCCTGTGTCAGCCTCCAGTCCCAGTTCACAGTGAATTCACTTGCAAATGTTAAGTCTTATCTCTACTCTGAAATTGGGACCAGATGATCATATAAAGAGTGAGGGAAATAAAAATGTAAGTTTGAACTGAATTTACCTCTAAGGAGCTGATAATAATGAGAATGAAGGAACTGGGGCAGCTTGTACTAAGGGTGCAGCTGTGTGTGTGTGTGTGTGTGTGTGTATGTGTGTGTGTGTGTGTGTGTGTGTACACGTACAGACATACACACCAGTCTGGTTTTTATTTGAAAAGAATTGAACTTTTGTGAAGAAAACAGAACAGGTGTTCATTGGAGTCCAATCCAAACTGTCCTTTTACTGTTTTTAGACATTCTGCAGAACTGTCTTATTTAACACCAAGATATATCTTTTGAAAATTGTAGATCTGTTTCGCACTCTAGAACAGATGGTTGTGAGTCACAGAATTGCTTTTTTAACCCTTTCACATGGGGTGTGGTGGGGCATTACGTGCAGAGCATTAAGGAACAACAGTTGATTTGTGCACTGCAGCCACCCAGTCAGGAACAGGGGATTACAAGTTCAGCATCTTAAATGTATCGAAAATAGACATTGTGATCATATAAAGCCTCTAAAGGAGAGATGTTGGCATGAACCTCATTCAGGTCAGTGTGTTGTGGTTTGATGACTGTCAGTGTTACTTATTAGAAAACAAGATTGAAAATAAAATATTTGAAATAGATGGTTTCTAAGTAATTAATACTCACCTGAGAACATAAATTTGCTTTCCAAAATAATTTGTAGCCTTTATTTAGCTGCCTTTTGTGAGTATGAACTTTAAATATTAGGTTTATTACTATAATCTATTATAACAAGATACGAAATATATTTACCATCATGTTTTCAAAACGATTACTAGGACAGCCTTCTCAGTGGGTTTCATTTGTGTGTGTTTTTTTCAATTTTTGAATTCTTTATTTGTTCTGTTCTCTGTTTTGTCACTTGAGTTTTAAACTGATTTAAAATGTTTTTGAATTCCTCTGATTGTTGGAGAGAAAGATGGTGTGTTTGTGGTGATACCTCTAGGCAGTGCAGAGAGGAGCAGGTGCACAGTGAGTTCCACCTGTGCTCTTGTCCTGGGAGAAGTGACTACATGTGTAGCTTGCTGTGGACCTCCCACCCCAGGCTTTGGGCTGAACCCTGCATTTGTCCTGGGTCCTCTCTTGCTTCCCCTAAGGGGATGTGCACGTTTGTGCATGAAGGAACACATGGATTTTGGGAGGACAAATAAGTGGCTGAAGTTTTGGCTGCTGAGATCTGGACCCATCTTGGGCAAAACATGGTGAAAGATTGCTTGCATTTCTCAGTGGGCATCATTAACAACAGGTCTGGTAAAATCTAGTTGGAGTGTTGGGGAGGATGACCCACACTGTACAGGTGAGCTCCACAGGAGGAGTTCTAGGGCCTCTTTTTGTAAACAGAGGTGCCGGATGGTTGTAAGGACTGGGGTAAGTGGGCCATGACCATGGAGAGCACCATATAATTAAAATACAGCACCTTTCCCTCCACCTCAGCAGAGGAGGGGCTTATCTGGTTAGGGGACTTGGGCAGAAGACCGTGTGGTCTGGCCTTTGGTGGGTCACTAAAATCCAGCCACTTATAGAACTGTTTCCCAGCTTTGCTCTGGGCCAGAGAAAAGTGACCCCTGCACGTGCTTTCTGTTCCTCCCCAAAAGTTTCTCCCTCATTCCCTTCTTCCTGGAGTGTTATTCTGTCCACCATGTGCTGAGGTTGACTCACCTCTCCCGAGGTTTCCTCATGACTCTAGATCCGGGGTTGAGTCTTCTGTCTTTTTCCATTCCCAAGAACTGAACTTGAAGCTATCTATATCCTAAGTGGGGTATTAATAACTGAGTAATGCGCCCTAGCTTGTTTTGCTCAGTGGATAGAGCATTGGCCTGCGGACTGAAGGGTCCCAGGTTCGTTTCTGGCCAAGGCCACATGCCCATGTTGCAGGCTTGATCACCAGTGGGGAGCGTGCAGGAGGCAGCCAATCAATGATTCTCTCTGATCATTGATGTTTCTGTCTCTCTCTCCCTCTCCTTTCCTCTCTGAAATCAACTTAAAAATTAAAAAAAAAAATAACTGAGTAATGCAGTGTGGTGGTGGTGGTGGTGGTGGGGTTATCTGATGGATCTGAGAAAGAATTGTTCTTTAAGAATAGTCTAGCCCTAACCGGTTTGGCTCAGTGGATAGAGCGTCGGCCTGCGGACTCAAGGGTCCCAGGTTCGATTCCGGTCAAGGGCATGTACCTTGGTTGCGGGCACATCCCCAGTGGGGGTGTGCAAGAGGCAGCTGATCGATGTTTCTCTCTCATCGATGTTTCTAACTCTCTATCCCTCTCCCTTCCTCTCTGTAAAAAAAATCAATAAAATATATTAAAAAAAAAGAATAGTCTAGAATTAAGTAGTTCCCAGAATTAAGTGGACCCCAGTATATGTCTACTTGCACTTTAAATATATATTTAATTATTTTTAGAGAGAGTAAAAGAGAGAGAGAGAGAGAGAGAGAGAGAGAAGAAATCTGTGTGAGAGAGGTACATCCATTGGCTGCCTCCAGTATTTGCCCTGACCGGCGACCAAACCCACAACCTAGGCATGTGCCCTGACTGGAAATCGAGCCAGGGACCCTACAGTGTACGGCATGATGCTCCAATCAACTGGCCAGGGCTATCTTGCCCTTTTCAAATGTTATTGTGATGAATGATATATAACTTATTTGAATGTTACTCATTATGATAAATATCAAGTGTAACATAGTGGTTGCGGGGAGGGCACATGGGGTCTTCAGAGGCATCGGAAAGGTATTATTTCCTTTATTTTAATTTATTATTATTATTATTATTAAATATATTTTTATTGATTTCAGAGAGGAAGGGAAAACAAGAGAGAGATAGAAACATCAATGATGAGAGAGAATCATGGATCTGCTGCCTCGATCCCGCAACCCGGGCATGTGCCATTGATTGGAATCAAACCCAGAACCCTTCAGTCCACAGGCCAATGCTCTATCCACTGAACCAAACTGGCTAGGGCTAATTTATTATCATTTTTTAAAAATAATTTTTTTATTTCAGAGAGGAAGGGAGAGGGACAGAAATAGAAACATCAGTGATGAGAAAGAATCATTGATAGGCTATCTTCTTCATACTCCCTGTTGGGGGTCAAGCTCACAACCCAGGCATGTGCCCTGACCAGAGTCTAACCATGACTTCCTGGTTCATAGGTTAACGCTCAACCACTGAGCCACATTGGCCAGGCAGGAAAGATTTTATTTCTTAAGGTAGGTGGTGGTAAAACATTTGTTTTATTGTTATTAATACTTACACATGTGTCATAAATACTCTGTTGATGATGTTTAGTATCTAATCAAACCTGGAACCTGAAGTACCTGACTTTATTATGGCTTGGGTCAGATATGTTTTTAGTGAAGGAGTTTACTGTGTAGCTGCACTTTGTGGTGGTCCTGGGAGGTTTTTTGTTTTGTTTTTTAATGTTTTTATTGATATTAGAGAGTGAGAGGGAGAGAGACAGACAGACAGACTGACAGACATCGTTCAGTTGTCTCCTGACCGGAGCTCAAACCTGCAACTTGGGTATGTGCCCTAACTGGGAATCAAACTGGCTTTCCTTCAGTGTATACGATGATGCTTAAACCAACTGAGCCATATGGCCAGGGCCTGGAAAGCTTTTTTATGTTAAAAATGGTTTCATATTTTCTAAGCTGGTGGGACCTCTGAATGGAATGTTGGTGACTTTGAATAGCTTGTGATTACCGTTTGTCTCGAATCACTTTGTTGAAAAATAAGCCAAAATGTAGGATCTTATGGAAGATGAGACTACTGTCTTAATGTTGAGCTTTGCTGATGAAAGGATGTAAAGCATAGAGGGTGCACTTGGCCTGTGGCCTACGTCTAACACTCCTGATCCCTACTCACAGAGGAGAGGAAGCGCAAGGAGAGAGAGGACCAGATGTACCGTGAGAGGCTGCGCACATTGTTCATCATCGCTGTTGTCATGAGCCTGCTGAATGCATTTAGCAGCAGTGGGGGCAACATTTCCTGGAATGACTTTGTCAACGAGATGCTGGCCAAAGGCGAGGTGCAGCGGGTCCAGGTGGTACCTGAGAGCGACGTGGTGGAAGTGTACCTGCACCCTGGAGCCGTGGTATTCGGGCGACCTGTGAGTGATGACAAGGGCACAAGCATGGAAAGACCTGGAGACGAGTGTGTATCCTCCTTTTCACTCAGCCCCTGCCCACTCTCATTTTTTTGGTTGTCATATTTTATGTTTTCTTAAAAGAAGATGTGAGTATCTTTATTTGAAGGAGGATTTGTTGGAGGTTTTTGAGTGGTAGCTCACTAAGATGGAGCTTAAAATGGGGAAAGGCAGTGTTGTCTCCAATAGAAGCTAGTGGGGTCCACAGCTGCCATGATGTCTGTACATCAAAAGGAAGAGTTAGAAGTAGTGACAGGGTGGTCATAGTGGTGACTCCCTGGTACTAAGGGGAGAGGAGCCAGCTGCAGTCCTGAGCATTTGTTCATTCTCTTGAGGTGTGTGGTGTGGTGCTGGCCAGAGGTTAACAGACGGGGTAGCTTTTGGCAAATGCAGGTGATATGAGGTGACTAGTGGTTGGCGAAGCAGAAATCTCTTGGGGGTTTAGAATGGGGGCAAGAAACTAACAGTACTGTGAGGGGGTGGCTAAAAGACTAGAGTCTACAAGGGCTGGTCCTCCAACAAGAGCAAAAAAGAAAGGGAACAAGGAACCTTTTTCATTTCCTAGCTCAGACATCCCCCTCACCTCAGGAGAGAAGCCCAGCATAGTCAGAACTAGAGAGTGGTGCCCTAACCAGAGGAGGTGGCAGACACTGCAGAGGGGTCAGGAGTGTGGGATTTCATACCAGGTACAAGGTTAGGCATCAAAGATTGGGAGAGACACACCCTAGTGTCAGTGGCCTAGTTGTCTGGCACTGCTGGGAAATGAGGTGAGGCGTATGGAAACGGCCCCAAAAGGTTGGGTGAAAATGAATCACTCTCCAATCTCTGATTCCATTCTTTTCATTCTCCGGTAGCCACAGCACCATAGTTTGGCCCCAGAAAGGTAACATTGACATCAGAATTTTTTTTTCTGTTGTCTTTTTTCACCCAGGACTTTATTTTTTTATTTTTTAAATATATTTTTATTGATTTCAGAGAGGAAGGGAGTATTCTCTCCCTTACATCATGCTCCCACAGCATGCCCATGTGCACTACATTCTCTACTCTGGTTTTTTAATATGGTTGAGGTGTCACTGGAGTGCTCATCCTGCCCTAAGATGCTTGGCTGTGAGTACAGCACAACCCAGTGACTCTTACATCAGATATCTAGCATGGTGTTTGCAGCTGGTTGTCACTTATAAGGGCTTGTAATTTAGTTGGGATGATAGGATCAACACATAGTCTGCTGAAAGTAAAAGTTAAATTCCAGCACACTTCAGAAATGAATGGTGATGCCCTCATTAGGTAGCTCAGTTGGTTAAAACATTATCCCAATATGCCAAGGTTGGGGGTTCAATCCCTGGTCAGGGCACATGCAAGAATCAACCAGTGAATGCATAAATAAGTGGAACAACAAATCGATGTTTCTTCTCTGTTTCTGTCTCTCTCTCTCTACAAAAAAGAAAAAAAAAAGAGCGGTGATGATGGGTGCTGCTTGTCTCTGAGTATTGAGTGATCTGGGTGGCTGCTACAGGGCCTTACAGAAGTGAGAGGATGATTCAGGCCCAGGTGACCAGTTTTAAAGAGGACGGGAGTTGAATTGGCTTCTGGAATCATATATTGTGCTCCTGGATCTTGGCATAGAAAGGGGGTCATTTCTACGTTTTTCCCTTCAATTAAGTTGTGACCCCATTTATATGGTTAAGCCCGGTATGAGTGATCAAAGCATTGAAGAAATCCAGATCAAACATATGGGATCTGTTACATTATTCAGCAGCTGAGGAAGTGGGTGTTCCAGCACAGGTCATGGTCACTGTATTGTGACTGGTTGGTCCTCTTGTCTGCCTCTCCATCTGGCCTATTACCCCACAAAGTGGAGCCCGGCCAACTGGACTATGAGTGACAGTTACTCCACAAGAGATTTTTTGAGACTCTTAAGGTCCAGGGGTAAATCTAGTTGCTCAGTTTAGATTCCAGAGTGTGTTTAGAATCTGAGCTTGGAACGATTTAACTTTGGAAAGCATGTGGAGCAGGATCTTAGGAAAATGATGTGGGATTTATGCTCCTCCCTAGAGGGTTGCACAGATATTTATTCTGTGGAAGCTTCAGACTAGCTAGCCCAGGAGCGATCAATCCCTGTGATGAGTTCAACTCATTGAGAACAGACTTGGGGACTCAGTATGGATTCCTAGACTGGTTTTTAGTTTCCTTTCTCAAAAGACTGTATCTGGAGGAGGCAGTTTCTTCTATGTCCAGGAAAGGTTTACTGAGAACAAAGACACCCACTTAGTTGAATTTCAGATTCAGTCAGTGGTTAAACACACACCTTCATATTTTGCCTTCGGTAGTGGACTGTGTCCCCACCCAGTACTGCAGAATTGTCACTATCTCTGTGCTCTGCACACAGCTGTGTGGGGCAGGGTGCTGAGTTTAAAATGCAAATGCCTCTCCATTTTCTTAAAATGTTCCTATTTGTGAAAATAAGAGAAAGCATAGCTGTTAAAATTTTGATGTAATTGTGTTTGAGACAACGAAAGTTTTTTAGATGTGGATGTAGTTTCTGAATGACATCTGTTTGTTTGAGGAATCGGCATCACTCACAGGCCCTGTGCCTTCTGCCCCCAGAGGCTGGCTTTGATGTACCGAATGCAGGTCGCAAACATCGACAAATTTGAAGAGAAGCTTCGAGCGGCTGAAGATGAGCTGAATATCGAAGGCAAGGACAGGATCCCGGTTTCCTATAAGCGTACAGGATTCTTTGGAAAGTATGTGTCACCTTTGTTGGTCCTTGAACTAAACCAGGCTTGGCTTTGTAATGCAAGAAACAAACTACAAGCAAAAATTTCAAATTGGCCTTCCTACAGTTAACAGACCCCCTTGTGGGAGGATAAATAATGTATATAATCCTGAGAAATTTGGAAATGTGTGAAATTTATCTTAGTTACTTGCTTTACTTGTCTGGTTGTATTTATGAATTTAGCACATTATGGGGTTGCTGTCTTCTTCAAATAGGAAAGTGGATTAGAAAGGGGAAAAACACGTATAACCAGCAGAAATTCTTGATTCAGTGTTGCAAAGAGAAATAGAGACTGTAGGCCATAGGCCAGCAGACTCTTTAGTGGGAGCAGATCAATCAGCACAGTCAGGGGGGCTCTAACTATATGCTGGGACTAACAGTGGCTGAAGGCCATGTACAGAGAGATTTACTGTTGGCTCATGGACATGCTTTGTAATTCTTATAAGACTCAGTGACTGGCAAGCACATCTGTGAAATGATCTGTGCCTTTAAATTCTATAACCTACTGGCTCCTGAAGGCTCAGGGCTCTGAGGCTGCGCCTCTGGTTTACTATAGGTATAATAGGGGTACAGGGCAGATGGGTGGCTTCCCCTCTTCACGTGGAGGGTTGACATCCCAGGGTGTACTATTTGTTCTAGGCTTATCCTGCCTAACTAACCAAAATTAACAACCTACTTTTTTTTTTTTTTTTAATATACTTTTAATGATTTCAGAGAGTGGAAGGGAGTGGGAGAGAGAAACATCAACGATGAGAGAGAATCATCTATCCGCTGCCTCCTGTACATCCCCTTCTGGGGATCAAGCCTGCAACCTGGGCATGTGCCCCTGACAGGAATCGAACCCGGGATCCTTCAGTCCACAGGCTGATGCCCTATCCACTGATTTAATGGCCTACTTTTGAAAATGAAATTTATCGAATGTGAAAACCTGCTCTGGTTGGTTTGTTAATTATCACAAGGCTCTAGATCAGTGGTTCTCAACCTTCTTAATGCTGCGACCCTTTAATATAGTTTCTCATGTTGTGGTGACCCCCCCAACCATAAAATTATTTTCGTTGCTACTTCATAACTGTAATTTTGCTACTGTTATGAATTGTAATGTAAATATCTGATATGCAGGATGTATTTTCATTGTTACAAATTGAACATAATTAAAGCATAGTGATTAATCACAAAAACAATATGTAATTATATATGTGTTTTCCGATGGTCTTAGGTGACCCCTGTGAAAGGGTCATTTGAGAACCGCTCCTCTAGATAATAGAATGAGTGTGTGGCATCAGCTATTATGGCTTCATGCCAAGGTTATATATACTGTATCTCTAGAGTTTCTACACTCCATCTGACACTGGAAAAACTTTATGAAAGAGGGTAATTGGTGAGAACTGGACAAGGAAACCCATTTTCACAACCATTTGTTCTACATGTTGCTCTAGAGGGAGGGGTAGCTCTTCTCATCTTTGAAATGTCCGTGGTCCCTGGTCCCTGACTTTATAAAGCGTGACTGTTAGCTGCCTGGCTGCCACTTCTGAGCCTGTAACTGCCTCTCTTTCTTGCACTAGTGCCCTCTACGCCTTGGGAATGACAGCGGTGGGCTTGGCCATCCTGTGGTATGTTTTTCGTTTGACTGGAATGACAGGAAGGGAAGGAGGATTCAGTGCTTTTGTAAGTTGCACAAATCACATCTCATTGAACTTGCAGTGTTAGGATTTGTGTGTGTGTTCTGGCTGAATGCGTTTCCCATAAACAACAGAATAAGTGTACAGTGAAAATGAACCTGTTGCAGAGGCCAGCCTGGACCCTTAATTTGGCAGTTCATCTTTCCTTCTGTTTGGCTGACTGGAGGGTGTACAGTAACCACTTTTACCTGAGGGCCCTTTTCCTTGACTTGTTGGATGGCTGAGTCAAGGGAGTTTATAGGACAGCTTATTCTCCGGTTTTTACCATTAGCTGGGCATGACTGTTTTTGGTTTCCCTACTGGCTACACTAAGAAATTTTAAAGGTTGTCTTTAAAAGAACATCCATAATACACTTTAAAAATATTCTGTTGTTATGGCATTCGTCATAACATTCATTTCCCACCCCCATCAGAGGGGCCAGGGAGTGGGGGCAAAGTCTGCAGAAGGCATCTCCTGCTTCCTCCCTAGGATCTGTGACAAGGAGGTACCAGGAGGGGCCCTGTATCAGGGACACAGTGTCACCTCCTAGTGTCCACTTAGACTAGGACCACATTCCTATGTCTGTAGCTCAAGACTTAACAGCCTTACTTTTTTTTTTTTTCTGGTATAGCAAAGGTGGAGATTTATTGAAGAACAAGTACAGACTCCCACATGGGGAGAGGAAAGAGTCCCACAGAATGAACTCCCACATAGGGAGGGGGAAAGGGTCCCCAACAGCCTTACTTTTTTTTTTTTTTTAAATATATTTTATTGATTTTTTACAGAGAGGAAGGGAAAGAGATAGAGAGTTAGAAACATCGATGAGAGAGAAACATCGATCAGCTGCCTCCTGCACATCTCCTACCGGGGATGTGCCTGCAACAGGTACATGCCCTTGACCGGAATCGAACCTGGGACCCTTCAGTCCGCAGGCTGACGCTCTATCCACTGAGCCAAACCGGTTTCGGCAACAGCCTTACTTTTAATAGCAGCATGGTGTCTCATGGGGATGTGCCATATTTTGCTCAACCAATTTGATAATTCTTGCATATTTATGGCTATATTTTTTTGTTGTTGTTGTATTTAAAAAATACTCTGACGAATTCTATGCACATGCATCTTTTGAGTGCCTAATTATTTGCCTCATGTACCTTACTAAGTAGATTGGCTGAAGTTTACACATCTTTCTAGGACCTTTAGCTATCCTTCCAGATTGCTCTCCAGAAATTTACCTATTAACATTTATACCAAAACTCCCCAGAATTGAGTGTTATTATATTACTTTTTAAATTTTAAATTGAATTTATTGGGGTGACATTGGTTAATAAAATTATATAGGTTTCAGGTGTAAAATTCTATAATACATCATCAGCATTTACATTACTTTTACAATCAGAAAAAAATTTACACGGTAGTGGGAAAGTCATATGGAATATAAAATAATGCAAGAGATTGTTAAGCCCTAGCCAGTTTGGCTCAGTGGATAGAGCATTGGCCTGCAGACCGAAGGGTCCCGGGTTTGATTCTAGTCAAGGGCATGTACCTCGGTTGCAGGCTCCTCTCAGCCCTGGCCCTGGTCAGGGCGTGTGCAGGAGACAACTAATCGATGTGTTTCTCTCATATCGATTTTTCTCTCTGTCTTTCCCTCTCTTTTCCACTCTCTAAAAATCAATGGAAAAATGTCCTCAGGTGAGGATTTAAAAAAAAAGACATTGTTAAATTACCTAATTTGTGTGTGGGAGTTTTGGGTTTTATTTTATTTTTTAATATATTTTTATGGATTTCAGAGAGGAAAGGAGAGGGAGAGAGAGAGATAGAAACATCAATGATGAGAGAGAATCATTGATCAGCTGCCTCCTGCATGCCCCACACTGGGATCGAGCCGGCAACCTGGGCATGTGTCCTGACTGGGAATGGAACTGTGACCTGGTTCACAGGTCAGTGCTCAGCTACTGAGGCACGCCTGGCTGGGCTGGTTTTATTTTTTTAAGGCAAATTGCTAGATGCTAGAGAGCTTTCTTACAGTAAATGATGTAAAATAAACATTTCCCCTTGTATGTCTGAAATATGACCTTAACTGCCATCTGTCTGCATGAGTGGAGAGGGTGTGGGCTGGTCCTTCTGGGTGGTAGGAGGAAGGTTCCATGAGATCCTCCAGAAATGGGTGGTGGGGACGAAGGGGCGGCACAGGTGGAGCCAGCACTGAAGCACTCATCTAGCTCTGGGAGTGCACAGCTCGCTGCCTTTTGTTCTTTCTACCCAGAATCAGCTTAGAATGGCTCGTTTCACAATTGTGGATGGCAAGACGGGGAAGGGAGTCAGCTTCAAGGATGTGGCAGGGATGCATGAAGCCAAACTGGAGGTCAAAGAGTTTGTGGATTATCTGAAGGTAAGCACAGGTTCTGAACAGGAGATGGTGAGAACTACATTGATCAGATGTATGTGCTGTGTGGTGAGCTCTCCGTGCTGAGGTGGGGGACAACATGCACTATACAAGCTAAATGCACAGTTTTGATCAGCAGAAGGGCTGATAGCCGATCACTGATCGTACCCAGAGCCTCTGGGACACTGGCTTTTCCCAGAACCATGTGCACCATTGCTGATTCATGTCAACACATGAATTGACCTTCAAGGGATCAGTTTCTTGAAAATTACGTTAGAAAAATCTGTTGTGTTACATTATTTCTAGAGCCCAGAGCGCTTCCTTCAACTTGGTGCCAAAGTTCCAAAGGGTGCGCTTTTGCTTGGACCACCTGGCTGTGGAAAGACCCTGCTGGCCAAGGCCGTGGCGACTGAGGCCCAGGTGCCCTTCTTGGCAATGGCTGGCCCAGAGTTCGTGGAGGTCATTGGAGGTAAGCATTGCTTGGGGGGCTACAAACAGGCTCGCCTGACTACTTGTTCATGATGGCCCTCCTTTCACATGTTCTCCCTTAAGTGACTGAATTAATGAGGAAATGGGGGGAATAGAGAAGGAAAAACGAAACCTGATTTATGGGAAACATTGTATTTATATATAGAATTGGGTGATGATGTTCTTTAAAGCTTGTGGTTCAGGAGGGTGAGCATCCTCTGCAGTGGTTCTCAACCTTCCTAATGCCGCGACCCTTTAATACAGTTCCGCATGTTGTGGTGACCCCAATCATAAAATTATTTTTGTTGCTACTTCATAACTGTAATTTTGCTACTGTTATGAATCATAATGTAAATATCTGATATGCTATATGTGTTTTCCCAGTGGTCACGACCCACAGGTTGAGAACCACTGCTCTAGGGTGACCTCCACTCGTTTTCTTTGCATGAGTGGATGCTTGCTGAGATTCCACCGTCCTTGCTGAGCACCTTTGGCCCCTGACCCAAGAGTAGGGTTCATCTCCCATTACCTGTCCGCTTCCTGATCCTCTGTGTCCCTTCAGGCCTTGGCGCTGCCCGTGTGCGGAGCCTCTTCAAGGAGGCCCGCGCCCGGGCCCCCTGCATTGTCTACATTGACGAGATTGACGCCGTGGGCAAGAAGCGCTCCACCACCATGTCTGGCTTCTCCAACACAGAGGAGGAGCAGACCCTCAACCAGCTTCTAGTGGAAATGGATGGTGAGCACTCTCCTCCGCTGCTTCTGTGAGGGGAGAAGGGTTTCAACTCTTTCAAAATAGTCCTTTTCTAGCTCTAACCGGTTTGGCTCAGTGGATAGAGCGTCGGCCTGCGGACTCAAGGGTCCCACGTTCGATTCCAGTCAAGGGCATGTACCTTGGTTGCGGGCATGTCCCCAGTGGGGGGTGTGCAGGAGGCAGCTGATCGATGTTTCTAACTCTCTATCCCTCTCCCTTCCTCTCTGTAAAAACTCAATAAAATATATATTTTTTTAAAAATAGTCCTTTTCTAGGTGGATCATGCTGCTTATGTTTGTTATCCCAGAACCTTACACTTATGCTCATAGGCATTTTCTTTTTCTCCAGTCGTTGGTCTCTACTGTTTCTCCACCTCAACACCTGTCACAGGTGATGGTGCTCTCAGCACACAGAGAATCATTGTTTAGCAGATAAAAGCTAGAAGCAAGGTCAGCTTAAAAACTATTCATCATGATGCTGTCCTCAAGAAACAAAGTTTTTAATTTTAAAAAGTCAGGGGAATAGTGAAGAAAAAAAGAAAAGCAATTAGGAATACAAGTGGCAGGTCAGGCCATGATGATGTTTTCAGTCTTGAATGACCTAATTGATTGTGCTGTTGTATGTGTCTCTATATACTGTCCTGGTTGAAGGGTAACCCAGATGGAAGGTGGAGCAGGACAACTTGGAAACTGATGTGTCTGTTGCACTGAGGGAGGTTCTTTGTTTGCCACCCTTGAAAATGACCTCTGGACTGGCTTCCACACAATTTCTTTTTCTTTCCTTTTTTAATTTAATTTTTTTTAATGTATTTTATTGATTTTTTACAGAGGGGAGAGGGATAGAGAGTTAGAAACATCAATGATATAGAAACATCAATCAGCTGCCTCCTGCACACTCCCTACCGGGAATGTGCCCACAACCAAGGTACATGCCCTTGACAGGCTGATGCTCTATTCACTGAGCCAAACCAGTTATGGCCCTTTTTTTATTTTTTAATGGAAATGACCCAGTAAAGGTGACATGGAATTGTTTTCTTTTGAGCTACTTTGGTAAGATATTCTTTTTGTGTTTGTGTGTATAGATATGGTATGTTTATTTTTATTGTAGTGAAGGTTGCATATAATATAAAATTTACCATTTTAACCATTTTTCTGTGTACAGGTCAGTGGCATTAAGTACATTCTAATCGTTGGTCAACCATCACCATTATCCATCTCCAGAACTTTCTCATCTTAAACTGAAACTGTCCCTGTTAAACACTAACTCTTCATTCTCCTTTTCCAGTCCCTGGCACCCATCCTTCTACCTTCTGTCTGTGAATTCAACTATTCTAGGGACTTCATATAAATGGAATCATATAGTATTTATTCTGTTGTATCTGACTTATTTCACTGAGCAGAATTTCCTTCCTTTTAAAGACTGAATAATAATCCATTGTATAGATAGACTACATTTTGTTTATCCATTCATCTGTTGATGGACACTTGTGGCAATTGTGAATAATGGGCATTCAAATATCTCTTCATGTCCTAGCTGTGTAAGATCCATTTTTAGCTTTTCTTTAATCAGAATTCTAGTTGTATTTTAGCTATTGTAGATGAGGGAGACACTTTTTTTTCAATGTATTTTGGTTCTAAGAGAACTATTTATCTGTGTATTTATTTTCCCTTTTAAAGTTTTCTTACCATTTGGGATGTATATCTGTTGTCTAGGATACGGATAGTTGAATTTGATTGTATGTGACTAAGGGCAAAACTTTTCTTTTAACCTCTCATTTTGAAGTAAAATAATCTCAGACTTATAAAAGCATTGTAAAGCAGTCAGACGAGTTCCTTTATAGCTTCCCCCAAGCTTTCGAAGGCTGACATGGCTGTTACCAGGCTGTAAGTGTCCATGGATATTCCTTTTCTGGTCCAGGATTTAGTGCGCCAACATAGCACATTTAGTTGTCCTGTCTCTTTGGTCTCTTCCAGCCTGGGTCCAGTTCTCTGTCTTTTTTTATGTGTGGCCAAGACACTTTTTAAAAATATATATATTTTATTGATTTCTTACAGAGAGGAAGGGAGAGGGATAGAGAGTTAGAAACATCAATGAGAGAGAAACATCGATAAACTGCTTCCTGCACACTCCCTACTGGGTATGTGCCTGCAACCAAGGTACGTGCCCTTGACCGGAATCGAACCTGGGACCCTTGAGTCCGCAGGCCAATGCTCTATCCATTGAGCCAAACCGGTTAGGGCGCCAAGACACTTTTATAGACCAGTTTCATTTAAGGATGCTGTTCTGTGTCCTCAGAAATAGGTTGAGTCAAGCATTTTTGACAGGAACAACACAGCAGTCTTGGTGTAACTCACTGCAGGTGGCATTGCTATGCCTCGTCCCTGGTGCTGAGATTCTGACTGAGATGGCCTCCAGCGGGCATGGCAAGGCCTTTCCACACACATTGTTGAGCAGGTCAGATGGACTGGTGCATGTGGAAGCATTTTATAAGCTCTGCAAGCTCTCCAGTTTTAAAATTAAGGTATAATTTCTAACAAAGCTTAGGAAAGGGCTGTATTACACTGTAAGAATGGTCCTCCCTGGTGCTACCCTGTAGACACAAACAATCAAGATCAGAAGAGCTACCTTCCACATGAAGAGCAAGCTTTCCTTAGAAGGAATTTTCCAAAGAACTCGGTGTCTTTATGTTTTTAATATGTTTTTGTTTATTCTATTTTTTTTTTGTTAATCTTTATCCTGGGATATTTTTCCCATTGGTTTTTTTTTTTTTTTTAGAGAGAGAGTGGAAGGGAGAGGGAGAGACAGAGAGAGAGACATATCAGTTGGTGCCTCCCGCCTGTGGTTGGGGATAGAGCCTGCAACCCAGACATGCGTCATTGACCAGAATCAAACCCGTGACCCCTCAGTCTGCAGGCTGATACTCCAACCAGTGAGCCAAACTGGCCAGGGCTGTTTTTGTTGGTTTTAGGTAAAGAGAGAAAAACATCAATTCAGAGAGAAACATCAATCAGCTGCCTACTGCATGCCCCCTATGGGCAATTGATCTGCAATCTGAGCATGTGCTCCGACTTGGAATTGAACTGGTGACTGTTTCGTGCACAGGACAATGCCCAACAAACTGAGCCACAACGGGCAGGGCAAGACCTGGGTGTCTTTAGAGATGTTAGTAGAGTGAGTTGTCGAGAGACACACCCTCAAAGATAGGGGATCTTCAAGAGTACTTTCCAGGCCAGGTTCCAGGGACCCCCTACCCTGGAGTCCTGTATGCCAGACCCGCTCTGACTCTTCCTCCACCCAGTGCCTAGCTGTGGCGATTGAGATCTGCTTTTTAAATGAGGCACTATTTTATAGTTGAAAAATTTGCCCGCCTAGTGTTGTACAGTGGTTGAGGGTCAACCTATGAACCGGAGGTCACAGTTCATTTCCCAGTTAGGGCACTTGCCCTGGTTGCAGGCTCTATCCCAGTAGGAGCGTGCAGGAGGCAGCCAATCAATGATTCTCTCTCATCATTGATGTTTCTATCTCTCCCTCTCCCTTTCTCTCTGAAATCAATAAAAATATGTTTAAAAATATATATATCCATTTTTTAAAAATTTGGTGTCTGCCCTGGCTGGGTAATTCAGTTGGTTAGAGTGTTGTCCCAATATGCCAAGGTTGCTGGTCAGGGCATGTACAAGACTCAAACAATGAATGCATAAATAAGTGGAACATCAAATCGGTGTTTCTCTTCCTCTCTCTTTCCCTTTCTTTCCCTCTATCCCTCCATTTCTGTCCATTTCCCTCTGAAGGAATATGAAAAACACCTCTGGTTCTGTCCATTGATGGGCCAGGTGGGCAGATGGTGGAGATGGGCCAAGACTGAGGGTACCGGAGCCTAAGGTCTGCTTGTCAGCTGTGACAGACCAGGCTGGGACCCATCACTGTGCATGTGATGGTTCAACTTCTGGTTGTCTTTTTATTTTATTTTTTAATTTTTAAAATATTTTATTGATTCTTTACAGACAGGAAGGGAGAGGGATAGAGAGTTAGAAACATTGATGAGAGAGAAACATCGATCAGCTGCCTCCTGCACACTCCCCACTGGATGTGTGCCCGAAACTAAGGTACATGCCCTTGACCGGAATCGAACCTGGGACCCCTGAGTCCGCAGGCCGATGCTCTATCCACTGAGCCAAACCGGTTAGGACTCGTTTTTATTTTTTTAAAAATATTTTTATTTATTCAGAGAGCAA